AGGGCCCCTGTCTCCCTCTACATGCTAACCTGCCTCCCTTTCCACTCTCTCCCCCTGATTCATGGGCCCGTTGCTTTGATTTGCTATGTTATTGTCCATGAATTTCTACATTTTATTCCTCACACTTCACACCACTGTTTGGAGGCACCATTTACTTCTTATTCTAGTTTGCTGTGTGGCAATATAAAGGAGCTCACATAAAATGCCTGAAGGACTTTTAAGATGATGTTTGACATGTTGGTAGAAAATGAAAATGCAGTTTAGTACGTAACTATCCTTAAAATTCTCAAATCAGAAAATGCCGTCTTTGAACCATTATGGAGACATTATGCAAAATCGACATTAATGATGGTCCTTCTAGGGAAAGGCATAATTAGTGGACTAATCGATAATTGATCATTAAGAATTTCGTCTATCACGTTCATTTTTAATGTAGGTTGCTGTTGCGTAAGGAGACGAGGCTGCATCTGACAGCACAAACACTGGAGTTGCGCTCTCACAGTCCCACGTTTCAGCTCTGGCTCCTTTGAGATCACTATACCACTCACTGAGTGTGTTTACATGCACATCAGTGTCCCGGTTATGATCGGGTTTTTTGGAGTATCCCGGTTTCGTCATAGTACGTGTATACGCAGTATCCTAACATAAAGTTAAGTGCACATGCGTCCAAAAGACAAACACTTTTCAGTCTTTTCATCACAAGAGTAGCCAAAATAAAGTGACCAACATAAATAAAGTGAGTGAAATGACTGTTAAATAAAGAGCTGCACTAAACCTGTACACATATGATCTCTGAAAACATGAACCATCTCCAATGCGACACTCACACAGAACAGACTCACCATCATCATCATCAACATCATCATCATCCCTCTGTCACAGAAAGAACACTCATATTCCACTGAGTCGTTTCCTTTAGTCCAACAGAAGCTGAACCACATCAGGGCACAAGGACAGAGCTGTTTTTATCAGAGCTTATAGTTTATGCAAACGTGCCTTGTGGTTTTAAGTTTCGTTTCTGTAAAACGTAAACAAATGTGCCAAAGCTGCAATAAACACATTATAATCTCAAACGGGCTGATGGGGTTCTATAGCGGTTATGGTTTATGTGCTGTAAAGTTGAGTTTATTTATGCAGATTAGTAATAGCAATAATATTGATGCTAATTTTAATATAAAACCTAGAATGATTAATCGAAAATTCTCCTGACGATCGATTAAGAAAATTTAATAGAATGCCCATCCCTAGGTCCTTCAGCATTCCATTATATTTAGATTTATGCATGTTTGAGTAATCCTGTACATTCTGCCATTTCTGTTTCACCTATTCCGTATCTCTGCCCACATCTCCTTACCAGTTACTCTGAGTGATACATGTTGGGCTCTGCTGTGGACTTACTGGAAACAATATCATGTCTGAAATTGGGTTTCACAGTATTGCCCCACAGACTAAAGACTGTATTCTGAGGGTTAGGATCAAGATAGTTTGCAGTACAGTGCATCTGGTGAAGCTGGAATGACCAGCTGGGACCGTTGCTATTGCAGCTCCATACTGTCCACTGACCTTCCCTTCAGTGGCCAAGAAATGAGTTTGCAGTTACCACCTCCATTACTGTGCTCTCTAGATGTTTATTTTCAACCCCCCTCTTCTATCTCCTCGACTCCCACTGTGAATGAACGAGTGCACACCGGGGGGGGGGGGGGGAATAATAGTGGGGGACAGTCAGGAACATTGTCTGTAGACCCCATGGGGACTTGTGTTTACCACCAAAACTGATCAGGCACATTCTATTATGTGGCAGTCAAAACAGATAATCAATGTTGCAGTATGGGAGACAATTGAATCAACAACCAACTGTGTCGTCAAGCTTTTAATGGCTGTGAATCGCAATAGCTTTCACAGATGGGGCACACCTGGGTGGGAATGGAGGAAGTCAACAGTGTACACACAAAACCACAGTGATTTGGGCTTTTCGGCAACTTTGGGACACACAAGCTGTAGCACAAGATTTAAGGCTGACGCACTCACTAACCTATGAATCATCAATGCGGCCTCTTGATGGTCGACTGATGTGAAGAGTTTTAATTGGCTTTCATTTTGCAGAAAACATTGGGTGAGCAATACATTTTCACTCTATTAGTACGGTTTGACATATTTAACCTTAATGGCCATTTTAGAGTAATGGCAACATGGTCCTAATGCTGCAGGGCAAGATTATAAATACACGTTATGCTTCTTTTCACATGGGGGGAATGCACTGAATTATCAATAATAAATGGTTATCCCCTAAAGTTATTTTTGTTGTAATGTTATGTTTATTGATCTTTAGGGGTTTTAGCGCTTTGGTCACAAAATATATGACCTGTTATTGATAGGTTTACATCTGTTTGACAACCTCTATGATACACAAGTTGGAATAACTGTCTTCATTACATATTTTGTTTTTGTCTACCTATTTAAAAATAATAATAGTTATATATATATATATATATATATATATATATATATATATATACACATATATATATATCTTTTTTTTTTTTTTTTATTTCTTTATTTTTTTGGTTGTTGATCTGAGTAGAAAAATACCAGGTGTTGGCTCTGGTCCCCTTAGACGGCCATCACTGTGCTGTTGTTTTAATCTCCTTAACACAGATTAAAGAGTTCGGAGATTTATAGAGGAGAAAAACATCTGGGATCCTGTGGAAAATGAGGATAAAAAACTTCCCTGTTGGGTTTGTCTTATTAGAAAAAATGGCGAAGCTTCATCTGACAGTTATGCTCATGTTTTACATCAATGTGGTTCACTAAAGGTTTCTTTTGGAAGGTTCCAGTTTAAGCCCCTTTTCATATTTTGGCAGTAAGTATTTTAATCCTGTGCATCCCTCTTTCCCTTAATGACACATTAGGCTCCTGGGGAAGCACAATGACTAATGTTGTCATGTCCTGTGCTTCGGCACAGACATCCTTGCTCCACATCCATGTGTGAGAGGATTTGGAGCATGTCACTATAAGGCAAGTCAACAGAATATGATCTTTGTCTTTCTGGGACTTACTCTTAATACACCTGGACTTAACATGTGCACTAGTACTAAAAGTATGTGCACAATACAGTTAGAATCAAACTCACCCTGAAGATATTCAGTGTTTTTCTCATAGAAATCTTTTCATTTTGAAACTTGAGCAAGGGCAGGCTAGTAATACATCCAACAGAACACAGATCCTATCTGTTTTATGGCTTTTCTCATTGAGCACCGCCTTTACATCGATGACCTTGGAAACAGGAATTTATGGCAGCCCGTGCCACCTTTAACAAGCCTGCTAAGCTTTTAGTGTGACAGATGAAGGGAATTTTGTAATATTGGCTTTGCTTAATGGCTGTCAATCAGGCATCAAATCCCCCTCTGTATCTGCTCGGAAAAGCCTGAAATTGCAATTATTTGCTGCTTTCTGTCAAAACACTCTAGGCTGTAAAGCCTCCTATACCTGATTTTGAACCATGAAACAGGAATATGTTTTAACTTGAACCATCAGCCCCACCCACTTAGTTCTTTCTGCCATATGGATATTGCACCATGACACAGAAACAACTGTCTGGGACAGTCTTAATGATGTACTATGACAGAGTTTCAAGTGTCAGGAGTAGGCAGTTGTTAGTCATGATTCTTCCTGTGAACACTGGGCCTGCTTGGATAAAAAGTGTTGATCCTGTCAGTAGCTTCTGTATTAATTAATATACGTAAAATGCATAGAATATTACAGTCTCCATTTCTTTTATATTACATGTATTAATCTACATAATAGCAAATATTGCTTTGTTTGTTTTTTTCTGCAGAGTCATTTGAGTTTGCAGAAAATGTACCTTTACCTTCTGCTGAGCTGAACATGGAGAGGGTTGCTTGGCAACAGGACAACTAATGTTATAAACTGATAGTGCCATCGCTTTGAGAATGATGTCTTTCAGCCAAAATGGCCATGTTGAACTGAATAGTAGATACTGCATTGGCTTCAGTTCATCACAGCATCATTGCATTGCATTGCAATTTACCAGTGCTGATGTTTATCTGTTAACCTCTACTATAGGCCCATGGCACAGGGTCTTGGAAGTCACATTAAGATTTAAAGCAGCAATCTGTCTTCTTTGACATGCAGGCATGGCTCTAGAGGTTTCTGTGGAGTACAAGATCATTTAAATGTGTCCTGGGACAAAAGGCTGTAACAAGCCACAGAAGTGTATTCCTAAAGTGTGAGGCTATAGAATGAAAAGCAACTCCAGTAGAGGTTTCAGTGAGCTTGTGCTCCAGTAGAGGTTTCAGTGAGCTTGTGCTCCAGTAGAGGTTTCAGTGAGCTTGTGCTCCAGTAGAGGTTTCAGTGAGCTTGTGCTCCAGTAGAGGTTTCAGTGAGCTTGTGCTTCAGTAGAGGTTTCAGTGAGCGTGTGTGGTGAATAAGACTGCAGGTGGAAGTGTGTGTAGGACACAGGGGTGCTCATACAAATGTCTGGGATCTGACTGTATGACGACAGCCTTCTGCTTATGTATGCACACACACTCAGTGAAGGGTTCACTCTGGTGCATTGAGCTCCCAGTGCTCTCCTCACTGCTGGGTGGAGAGGCACAGCTGGTGGCTGCGCCAGGTGAAGAATGCACGTCTCCAGCCTCATAAAGCCATCACCACAGAGAGTTGGCACTAACAGGAAATGGAGCACACTGGGGATTTGGCAACAGCTAAATTGATTTTTGTCCGAAAAGCTAGTTGGGAGGTAACCTTGCAAACTATTTCAGTTCCTCTGCAATCTAAGAAAAAGACTTGACTAAATTATATGTTATATTTACACAAAGCATGCTAGCGATGAAAAAACTGTTGTGAAAAGAGAAATCATGTACATCTGCACAAAGAACAAAACACTTTTCATCCTGCTGTGGACTTTTTCAACACACAATGTGATATATTTATTGAACTGTGCTATGGGAATTATATTTCTGTGTTTCTCTTCTTTGCAGACTGGCAGGAAAGAAAAGGGTGATCCTCTGAATTCAGCTATTGACAAGATGACAAAAAAGACCAGGGACCTGCGTAGACAGGTGAGTACACATGTTTTTATTCCTCTAAAAAATGACCTCTTGGAAGAGTTCAATTACATATACAAATGTTTGTCTTTAAACAATTGTTCCTGCATTTCACTAATATATCTGTGAGATGTTTTTTGCTTTTTGAAGGTTACTTAAAGTTTTCTTTTCTTCTCATAGACAATATATTCAGTATTCTAATTTTATTTTTTTTAATTTTCTGCCTATAAAATCTTGTTGAAGGTATATCCCCCACCTCTAATAAAATACACATTTGTCTTCATGCTCCATACTCCGTGCAGAGGGAGCATGAACTTGAACCTGCACGTTACAACCTGTCACTCTGATTCTGCTCTACGGAGAAGGAGCTGGGGATAGGGGATGGGGTATCAGAAAAAGGAAAAATGCAGGCGCGATACCTGTCAATCAAACCTGTTGCTAACACTAGAGCCGACCGGGGAAAGATTGTTCTTTTATTCTTCATATATTGATTTATGAAGAAAATAGTGAAATAAAAACACCAAGATCATGCAGTACAGGTTAGAATGGCTATTTAAGGTCAGAATGCCAAGTGGGGTGATGATTTTTCAATAGAAAGTGGATTGGAGCCAGACTCAATGGAGCCGATCCACTTAATATTTAGAACATGGTGGCTAGTTTAGCTATGTCCCCTTATGTCTATGGCTTTGTCTTTGCTGTTGTGTAAGTCTGATAAATGATGGCTATTGTGCACTATTAAACACATTCAATTCTTAATTTTTGTATTTATTTATTTATTTTTTATTTTTTTATTAATGCCTCTCATCACAGTGCAGTTTCCTTTATATCTCATGGTGCTCAGAGTTCCTAATCTGTTTCTTTCAATAATCTGAAAAGCTTGTACTGCAACACAAAAGAGGAAATATGAGACTAGTCACTGTATTGAAAGTACTTTTTCAGTGTACACTGTCAGTGCTCAGACAGTATCAATTAGTTTAACCTTCACTTTATGATTAAAACGATGTTTCTGAGTTCAGTTGAATTATCAGTGTAACAAAAGTTTGCGTTTGTATAAACATTAAAAGACACTTTTTTTCTGGTTTAATGAATTTGAATATGATCTAATCTTACTCAACACCTGCATCCGCACAACCCTCTATAAGGGTTCCCTGCAACCTAAAAAGTAAGTCTGCCCATATGCCATCAGGACATCGGGGCTTAATGCATTTTTAACTCTCCCTGTTCGATCATGCAGCAAAACATATATTTTATGAGGCAAGGCTATCTGCTGAAAGTGAAATTGTAGTGCATTCTTGTAATGTAAATTATTTTAGGAGCCCTTCATAAATCAGTCTCTCAATTTCTTAAACAAGTAAAACTGGATTAGGGGAGAAATGAATTTTTTATTTTCATTACATTGGTTGCAAATGATCACCTATCTTGAAAAACATTTGCATATTTCACCATGTTCTTAGTGCAGTGCTTGTACCTGCTCTGTGCTGGCTGCTGCTGTCCTTTCTGACCTCCACAGCACCACGAGGGGATGTGAGGTAGACAGCAGGCTATAAGTCTTTCTCCCATTGGGCCCGTTTTGGAGCGGCTGCCTGACGGGCCCTGCTCACACACTGACAGGACGCTCTATTGACTCACGGCTCGGCTCCACAGAACGGGGCAGTCTGCCTGAGCTTTGATTCTTATGCAGGAGGGCAAGAATGCACAGTGCTTGCAATGCGCGATACTGTAATTATGTCAACATGTTAGGAGTTTAGTGGTGCCGTGTAGAGATGGCAGACCTTCCAGTGGGGAGGAGCACACTGATTTGTATGATCCGTGTCTTCGTCTCAAAAGGGTGGGATCAAATATTAGCAGAGACAAGCACAAGTGACAGACAGCCTTTGTGAAATGGAGGCAGGTAAAGCACTAGAGACGTGTTGCTTGTTTCTCTCTCTCTCGTTTTTCACGCTGTTGTGTTTACACAGCAGACAATGCTTAAGCTGTCTGTAATCCAGGGCAAATTCAAACCATGTCAGCCATGTCGTTGCTGCCCCCATTTTTTTTCTATTGACATTTTTGCAGTATTGGTGAGATGTAAATATGTCTAACACGTTTGTGTTAAAGGTGAGGCAGAACCACATAATCGTGTCTTGACATTGGTCGGGAGATGTCTGCTCCAAAGCCAACCTGAAAATATGAGTGTTTTCCAGGCCAAGTTTGTCAAACACTGTAATAATGGTCTTTTCAACATTTGAGCTTTTTTGAGGCCCATGAGGCTGATTATCAAAATGATTTATAAATATCAAATTATGAACAATTTTTATAAATGCTTTGACATTTTGATTTCACAGAAACAAGCATATTCGATATTTGATGTAATATTTATTAAACCCTTGCTAATTTTGGAAGTTTACCCCCAACATTCTCAACTACTAAAAGTAAAAACACTAACAACTCTGTAAGAATTGCTGAATAATTGTAAACTTCACAGCTGATTTTTAGCTTTGTTTTAGTTAATTGTAAATAATGTACAAATAAAATTAGAGAGGATTAGCAGTGTGTATATCACACTAAGTGCTGGTCACTGTTAACACTAGTTTAGTCTAACCTAAACCTCTCAACTTCTCTTGTAGATTGTCCTCTTAATTTTGTTAGCTTTAAACAAATGCCTTCTTTTTTTAACATGAGATGTGTTGTTGCTACAAAAGACGAAACATGCTCATAGTTTTCTGTCAGCTGAGGGACCCAGAAGTGACACTTAACAACTTTTCTAGTATTTAAAAATATGTTGAATTTGTGCTATACTTTAAGGAAAGTACTTAATTCATAATGTGTACTACACAGTTGTAAGAGGCTGAAATGTATTTCTTGGGAAAATTTTGCTATTAACAAGTGGGTTTTGTTAACCTGATCCAAATTTCATATTTTCTTCAAGTTTCATTGACCTATTTCAACCAGTTCTTGAAATTGTCAGCTAAAACGACCTGTTACTTCACAAGTTATATTGCTGTCCACATTCAAAATTACTAGAGCACTTGGAAACAGAAATGTAAATAATATGGTGTGTTTGGTATTATTGTCTGGTAGTGCCACTCTTATAATGATACAATTTAGTTATCTTTCCCTCTCATTTTTTAGATTTCAGTGTCTGCATCTAACCACAGGACTCTCTGCGTGTGCTGTACTCCTTGTGTTTTCTTGCTGACCCCTAAACTCCTATAACGTGTATGTGCGTTTTTATTTGTCTCCAGTCTTTAAGCTCATACAATCAACTCGTAAGTCTGGAACATTAAGATGTCGTTTGTATTTACAATATGGTAATTTCCTGCAAAGAAGAGTAACATACCTAGAGTTGTGTTTTGTTTCATTCAAACGTTTAACACACAAACCCTGCATATTTAGGCTGGGTTCTCCTCTCAAACAGTAATTCAGGAAGTGCTCCACTGTGTTTTCAAACTCCATACATCAATGATTTGAATAATTTGGATGATTTCAGACCTGGAATTGCCAATCTCTACTAAACAAAAGGAAAAAGGTAGCTATTAACTTGACAGGCGAATAATGCAGGATTCTTCAACCTGTGTGAATGAACAAAACACAACTTTAGGTATGTTTTTGATGAAGTAACAGCATTCTAACATGGCATTTTGAGGAGAGCTATTGTGTGGCTTATTATTGTTGAGATCACCAGGGGTCATCGGTAAGAATGCACGATGAGATATGATGAAGTTTTATAACTTTTTTTTTTTCTACTTTTAACCTTGTGTCGGTGTCTGGATGTGTGTGGTCCTGAAACATATAAAGGAAAAAAAATAAAATAAATAATATATAGTATATATGATATACTCTACAAATACAGCTAAACAAACACAAACAATAAAGGCTCCATAACAATAGCAAGTGGGCTGTTAGCTGGCACTTAGCATTTCACAATATCGCAAATAAACATCTAATTGGACCTTGACCATACATTTTCTGCAGTCTACTACTGCAAACTTCAAAACACTCTGCAAACATGCTGATATATATGTGTGCCTTTTTAAAATCTCCATTCACTTCTTTATTACACATACAAGACTTGCACCCACTAACTTGGAAAAAAAACAAAAACTTGAAAACAATAGCATCTGATTGGTTACAATGTATGTTATTAGGTTCTTTTTTCAGACCAAGCATTTGTTTTCATACCTGACAGTTTTGACTGCTCACTAACGGTCTTCCTCAGAGTGGTCATGTGATGTTGCTGTGATGTGTCCAGTCAGCTGATTTATGCAGGTTTTAGCAGTGACTTCCTATCAGTGGAGGCAGGATGACAGCGCCATCTGCAGTCCAACTTCCTCAGAGAAAAGGAAACAGTAAAAGCATGCACACGAGCAACAAAACACAAAGTGGAACAGGAACAACTCAAATCGGCCATCTCTGACCATTGTAAAAGAGAGAACCACATTATGGACTGGGACAGAGAAAAACATCATTGGGACAGAGGAAAACAAACAATATTGCTGGATTAAAGAGGCAATCAGAATATGGAAACATGCCAACGGGACTATAAACCGGGACGAGGGGGCTTTTTTACTCTTACACACCTGGGATACTGTCCTGAGGAAGTCGGACTGCAGATAGTACTGTCGTCCTGCCTCCACTGGTAGAAAGGCGGCGCCAAAACCTGTATAAATTCGCTGACCGGAAACGTCACAGCAACATCACGTGATCACTCTGAGGAAGATTGCTAGAGAGCAGTCGAAACTGTCAGGTATGAAAACAAACTCTTGGTCTGAAAAAAGAGCCTAATAACATAAAATATCAGAAGACTAACTGAACCTCATCGGACTGGTTACAATGCCTGTCAATCAAACACCTGGCAGAAATTGTCCGTCACACATGGCTTAAAGCTCAAAAGGGGAAATTTTGCATAATATAGGACCTTTAAATAACAGTTTTTTGCTAATTCTGGAGCTTCAAAAGTAAGCAATCATGATTGCGAGGTAATAAGACTCATCAACTCGTCCAAAGAAATTAGCTCTTTAGACCTGTTTGCATAG